ATTTTCAATATCATGTTAAGGAACAAACAGAGATAGGATGAATGATTTTAAAGTTGTGGAATCGTGCCAAAATTGGTAGTTCCCATACTCTATGTATAAAATTCGTACTTTGTTCATTTGTAATTTACGTATAACAAGATAAAAGTAAGGATTTCTCACGGTCATAAGACTGTAATCATAATTAACCCTTTTTTCTGAAGATATGGTTACCATTCAATCACTTGCTAATGGATTGGTTTATTGCGATGTGCAGGGTGCCAATGCATATGTTAATTCTACTGTGACCGTCCAATGAAGCCTTGCGGAACGACTGATTAGGTAAACATTTTACCTAATAGTAACTGAAACTAGTTCACAGGTATTTAGAAAGTACTTTTCTATCGGAATGATAGATCAATAGGTGGGTGCAGGCCAAGCCTCACCAGGTGAAGAAAACTAAGATCATTCTTAACCACACAGCTACGTATGTATATCTTTGATAATCATCACGTTTTAATGAGCGCAAGGAACAGCTGGTGCGCTAATACTTTGGATTAGAATATGACTTTAAGAACTCAATAAGGAAATATTGAATTAAACATTTCCAGGTCCATTTCGTTGTTTTGTTGCGCTTTTGATGCTTACTTTAGGATCTTGTTTATTGTCAATGCATTGTTTTTACTTTTTCTTACCTTATTATATTAACAGACTCTTTTACAATATTACCGATACAGTATTATCACGTTTTAACATTTTTATATAAAAAAAATGTTGCTTTATTCAAGACTATCATACATCGGAGATAGTTTCCAATTGGAAAAATTGGAAAGTCTAACATACTTCTTTTACCATTGTTTGTGACTGACGAGATCTTTTAAATTACTTTCTTAAACAGTATAAATATTTATTGTCCACATTGAGGCTAGCAGGCTTACATGGATTTCCTTTCATTCTATCCATATACGCGTTAGGAAATGCTATTCAAGACCGAAGGAACTGAAGTGCAATGTCAACAGGAGCAATTGCGGAGACATTTCGCACGAACATCCGATTACCTTGTCTTTTTTGTAAAATAATATTCAATGACACCGTTGAAATTAGGATACTTTTTCATATAAGGCTCTACCTCAAAACTAATATATACTTCTCCATCGTCTAAGGGAACCTTAGAACGAGATGTTTTTTGTTTATTTTTACGCATTTGATTTCTTTTTCAATTGTTTGTGATTCTTCTGCAATAATGATATTGGAAGGTTTTCATGTGATGAAAACATAAAAACAGAACATGTGCCCGTATATAATTGTCCAAAAGACACATAAGTGATTAGCGCCTTCCAAAACGATAAGTGAGTGTGAGTAATATATTGATTTTGAAGATGTGTGGTGTCTCATAAGTGAATGTGTGTAATATTTTTTTATATTTGACTTGTCTGGTGTCTTATATTGGAGATGTCTGGTGTCTTATATTGGAGATGTCTGGCGTCTTATAAGTGAGGATGTGTAATAAATCTATATTATCAGTAAAAAAAAGACACAAAGGCGAATAGCACCTTTCAGTACAAATTTAGATTTAGATACCGTAGAGCCAAATGATTATTTAAACTGCGTCACACAGCTGTTTCGTTTTGATAGGACCTTTTACTGAAACTTAGGGCCTAAATCATAAAAACGAGTTGACAGAGGAAAATGAAAATTCTTCGAAAGGGATTTCAAATCCCAAATATGGAGATGACTAACCCATAATACACGATATGGGTTTTGTTTTAGAGAAAATGGGTGTCGGTAAAATTGATTTAGGTTTTTTCTGCAACATTAAGCCTTACAAGAAGGCATGCATATGAACGTTTGGGTTTTATTTACAAATTTTTGAAGGTTCAATTCAATTTCACGTTCCTTATCGAACTTAATTCCTAGTTTATTATTGTTAAGGCATCACTAATTATTTTTAGCTCTCTCTCTCTCTCTCTCTCTCTCTCTCTCTCTCTCTCTCTCTCTCTCTCTCTCTCTCTCTCTTTGCAGTAATAAGTTGCAGTTCTATAAATTCTATGTATAAGTACTATTGGTTGATATTGTTGTTTCCTTGGCTCTAGTTTCAGGAGCATGGCATTACTTTTGTTCCTTAAATTTACATGACGGTTGTCGTAAATGTAAAAATACGCTTTATCTTCCGGAACACCTTACTCGTGGTTTCTATACTCTCCTGATCTATTTGATGTTGAAACACATGTGTAACAGTGATTCGAGGATGCCTCGTATGATTTTGTTGATATGCCTCTTTCTTTTTTTGTGGACGAACACAAAGGGAATTTACAGATTTGTTTGTAAGGGGAAACCAGAGATTGGCACTTAAAATAATTATTAAACCATTCACCTATCAACAAATGTTATTTTGTAAACGAGCAGATCAACGCGTGTCCACTACTTTGACTGGCCACACAACCGTCCTTTCTGGAATTCTACAGAACACGTGACCGTGTCAGATATATAACGTCACGTGATCATACGAATTTCTTTGGTCAACTGTAAAAATTGAACACATATTCCTACTATTTCTATATTTAGCTATTATCTCGCCTTAGGTGTTGTTTAAAGTGAAGTAAGGACCTTTGTGAATAACGTGTCATACCTGACAGATCACTATTTACCGTTACTACATAACAGTAAGGTCTTATAAAAAGGTCTCTGGTAGTAGCTCTCTTGTTCTATATAACGGTCAGGTCTTGTGTAATAGCCAGATCCTACGTAGCGGCCACGTCTTATATAACGGCCAGGTCCTGCGTAAGATAGCCAGATCCTACGTAGCGGCCACGTCCTATATAACGGCCAGGTCCTGCGTAAAATATGCAGGTCCTACGTAGCGGCCACGTCCTATATAACGGTCAGGTCCTGCGTAAAATAGTCAGATCATACCTAGCGGCCACGTCCTATAAGTAGTGGCCAAGTCTGACCCTTCATAACATCAACCATATAGGTGATACGAATATATTCTGAATAACAGTAAAGTGCAATCTGTCAAGTGCTACACAATGGACAGAGCCTATATAGCTGCTAGGTCCAACACAACGTTCCTAGATAGTGGTCAGACCCTGCATGGTGGTCAGGCCCTAGACAAAGGCCATACCCTGCATTTTGGTCAGGCCTAAGATAGCGGTCAGATCGCGCATGGTGGTCCGCCCTTAGATAGCGGTCAGACCCTGCATTTTGGTCAGGCCTTAGATAGCGGTCAGACCCTACATGGCGGTCAGGCCCTAGATCGTGGTCAGACCCTGGGTGGTGGCCAGGCTCTAGATAGTTGTCAGAACCTACAGTGGTTGGGCCCTAGCTAGAGGGCAGACCTTACCTGGCGGCTAGGTCTTACGTCACTGATAAAGGTTCCAACACGTTATCTCTTCAAATGTTGCAATATCATAACTCTAGATCTGTATATGTCACAGTGAAAACATAGCCAATGTCACCAGGGCGGATTTTAAACGTGATGGAAACATCAGTAGTACTTAGTCTAATTCTAGCATTGTACTGGTTCTTAAATTCATATTCGACAGTTTTAAATTAAAAACCATCAGAAATTAATTTCTCTTTTCTTATTTCTGTTGGGATGAATTGCAAAATAAGTGTTTTGAGAAAAAGTAATGCAGATTTGAAATAGGTGTTCTAGATACAAATGTATCACTTTCACATTTCTGAATTTAAGTCTGGTTGTGTTTCAACTGTATATTAGAGTAAGTCTCACGTGTAGAAAGAAATGGTTACATTAGTTGTATGTATACGTATAAATTTGTGATTAAATTTAACGGGTTTCAATAACCCTTTACCGGGTTTCATTGTCGCTTAATATACGTTATATAAACACATCGGAAAACGACAGTTCGTCTAATTAAGGTCGAGATGTGCGATATTTTTACTCTTGTAGAAGTGTTTAAATATTGGAAGCACAGAAATTTTTAGAAGTGTCTGTATCTATACATATGTATTTTATATCATTAGTTTCAGTTTCGCCAGTATCATGTATCTGTCCCAATTATATCTACTGAACTGAGAGTGTCGAGACCGGAAGCCGGAGAGCCTATAAAACCTAATTCGCACAAAATAAGAACACCAGAGTTTTAGTACAGTGAGGTTATCCTGATCTTAGCGGATGTCAATCAAAGCTTATACTCTAATTCAAAAATAATATGGACGGTTTTCACTAACCAGTGTCAAACAAACTGTCAACTGTTCGTTCTGGTGTAAGATGGAGTGATTCGTGCGCACGTCGTTCATTATTTTCTATTTATTTCCTATCGTGAGGAATGCATTTACAAGATAGTTGCAAACTTTTGTAACCTATACAAAACAATTGTAAGTAAAAAAGCGATATCGCGTTATTTTCGTATATAAATTACATCAGCAAAAATAATTTTCAAAACGGTCATATTTCAAAATCCGGCCATTGGTTTGTTGATACAGGTCCCAAGATGAATAAAAGTGGACAAAGAAAATGTAAGATTCACTTTTGTTTTATTTTTCATTTTCATGTTTTTTCATAGACATATGTAACAAAACAATGTATTACATAAATATTTTAGGAAGATATGTACAAGTTTGTGTCTGACTGCAATTGACAGCATGGCGGCGCTGTATATTTGTAATATTATATACATGGATTTACTTTACCCCGATATCAGCGACAATGTGACGTCAACGGATATATGACGTCAACATTTCAAAATACATGCCATTTTGAAAAGACAGTAAAATGGACGTTAGTACTCCATGAGCATCTGCACTATTCATCATCATCTCATATAACATCATATATCTTATATTATAAAGTCCTCTCTATTTTCTAATCATCACTCAGCATTCTTTACAGTTACAATCTTCTCTTTATAAAACACCGGTCTCACTCTGTAAATTTTCTTTCAACAAACTAAACACGCTGTGACAAAATAACAAGATCATCAACATTCAAATAAAGTCTTTTTTCTTAACATACACACACACCACCTTACACACACACAAACATGAATGTCATTTTTCCATCACCGCGACGAACTTTCCATTTCGCGCTTGTGTAACAAGGGGTGTGACGAACTGAGGGAGGTAGACAAAAGTCCAGGAGCAGGTGGAGGGTAAAGTCCAAGAGAAGGCACCGGACACGTACAAGGTTTTCCGGAATTCGCATCACATATGCTAGGGGAATGTTCCATCCAAGGAAAATGCATTCTGGGAGGAAATGGGAGGCTTGGTGGTGAAGTAGAAAACGACGGACTTGTGTCTAAACTTGGAATAGGTCTGTATAATGGACTTGACATTGATGACAATACATCAAGTCTGGGAGGAATAGGACTGGATACAGCCATTGGAGTGAAAGCCGAACTCGTTGATGGTTGAAGTCCATGTGGAAGACTCATGCTTGGATACGGAAGAGCAGCTGGATGTTGGAGATTGTACGGGTATGTAGCGGCAGCGGCTGCAAGGTAAGCGTACAGCTGAGGATCTGGGGGAATACCGTAGGGCCATGTGAGTGCCATTCGTTGGCGCTTGTCCTTCATTCTTCGGTTTTGGAACCAAACCTGTGAAAGATGAAAAGGCGAAAATAAAAATGATGTCTCATTTTGTCAAGCGTCACCCGATAATGTGTTCAATCTATTTTTAAAAAATTGTTTCCGTTCTTGACCAATCGTCAAATTAATTTAAACAATAAAGATGTTTCTAGGTTACGTAAATAAAACTAAGTGTAATTAATTACCTTTATAGTGGATTCAGCGAGTCCCAGGGACGCTGCTAGTTCGCATCTTTTTGGACGAGAAACATAGTTTTCCTTCAAAAATTCTTTCTCTAGTCTGTTGAGTTGGTCTTTGGTAAAGGCTGTTCGGTATCGACGGATTTCACGCTCTTGTGCAGTTTCTGAAAGGAGAGAATGAAAACAGCCATTAACATACAAGTTATTGCCTCATGTTGTAAAACATTCGATATCCTAGTCCAACAGACATGCGCAGAATGACAGAACATCTGCAATCGAAGTGTTATCGACCAAATATTATTTTAATCAAATGTGATAAATGTGAGGTAGCATAAAATATCACAATGAGAAACATGTCAGTTCGTAATTCTTCACGAAGGAAATGTCATGTTTTTTAAATCGGGCGTTGGCCTGGATATTTAAGAAATGCTAATGAGTCTACATCTGGTTAAAGTAAACGGCTGGTCAGAAGAAAAGTTAAGATTAACTACCTAAATCTATTGGTCATTTTATGCCCTTGCTCCTGCTCAACCCAAATGGTCAGTTGTAAAATATTCATTAAGCACCTTTGGGACACGGGGTGCCTTATTGGTCTCTATTTAAACATGGTTTTATTGACCAGTTCGTATGGTTAGTGTCGTTTAGAATCGAAGATCTTAATCAAATTTATCCACAAATATCGTCATTTCCGTTTCCATTGCCGCTCTGGAGAGCAGGTGCGCGACGTCAACTTGTTTTAATTTAAGAAAATCTTAAATATCTCTTATTTGTTTGAAGCTCCGCCCTCTTACAAAAGGTCAATAGGTACTCTGTTTTGTGATTTTCTTTGAAGCTAGTTCAATTCTGCCTACCTATAATACAAGATCTGGTTATGACTCCTCTCAAATGTGACTCTCGTATAACCATAGAGTAAACACCATTTGACCACGCAGGCGTGAAAGCGATATCACTATGATTATTCGACAAATTGAGCTGTTTCGTATGATCCATGACGTCCTAAGTTGACTTTTGGTCCGTGAGATCATAGATTCTCAAAGTAAATAAATTTCAAGCAGCCAACGTTCCGTTACTTTTGTCTAAATAAGGAACAATTGATTCAGAAGGGATTTTTTTAAGTTTCAATTACATATATGTATGAGTATATACATCGGGCCTGTGGTAAAAAGATGTCCATCATTCCGTGCATGATTATCTGTATAACTTGTATCATGGGCCTGTCTCAACCCACCAGCAATATTTGAACTGCAGCCCAGAAAAAGTCATTTAAGGAAGCTGTCAGCTTTTGGCATTTTTTACCTCCAAGGTTTTAAGAGTTCTGATTAAAATCGTGATCTACTGCTTACGTAACTCAAGCGTTCGGATAATTGAAATTATTTTCGGTCCCTTTGATCCTCTAATTACTTTATCATATCAAAATATTCCTAAATCAATTATTCCCAGACAGTGTTTATATTGTGCCCCTATAAACCTTAAGCTTCACCTTGCAGAAACAGTCGAACTATTTGCCCGGCGCGGAGTGACAAATTGATTTGAGAGTTTGTGATGGTGCAATTAACATGGCAAACAATTACAAAAGGATAACGTTTACTAATAGTTACCGGCCAATATTTGTTCTTACCTAAAGCACAACGATATAATTTCTATAGCCAATAAATCTCTACATCAAAACAACAGGTTATTTATATTCAAATATAATAAATTTGTTTGCTTTTCCCATCATAGCAATTGAGTAAATCTGAATACATTTTCAAGTTACGTAAAAATCGAAAATTAAACATGTTATATAAAGAAATTGATTTGCGTTGTTTTTGATGTTCCTGCATTTGCATATAATCGTATGTCCTATGTCACTGACTTGGCTGATAAAGTTAAAAACGTCTACATCTGATCTGCTCACAGGGTAACATTTACACCAACAATCATCGATTTTAATTCCGATTTGTCGGTGGCGCTAAATATTTTCTTTTTAATTCAAAGTCGATAAATAGGATCTTTATACTATTAAATTAGTTTAGAATAGCAAAGAAAAACAGGTTTTCTCCTAAATTGAATCTAAATAAAAATGTTTACGTTGTATAGAAAACGATTCCGATTTAGCCGCGTCCCTAAGTAAGATAATTAATGAATTAGCCCCCTATTGGGACTTAGTTTGACTTTCATTACCAATCTAAATACAAGCATCACAAGTCCTGTTAATTCTATTCAGAGTATGTTAAGACGTGTACAAACTCCCTGCGGTGGAAAAGAACGAGATCGATTTTTTTAAATGAATAGAGAAAGCAAACCAGTTTGCCTGGTCAGTCTAGCGGTCAAATGTTAGTACCCTTAGTGCCGAAATGGACAGTAAAAACGAGATTTGGACAATGGGAAGAAACCAAACTGACCAATTGACCGAAGGACGATAATTAAATGCGCGGTAAAATTAGACAAGTTTGTAAGATTAGGTGGGGCGGTATCTTTGATCTGGAGCTGGTAGGCGCTATATTTACGTTTGGTGTAGCCACATCTTTCTATGAAGGGTTGATGACTATAGTGATACCGTTAACCGGTTTCCTATCGAATCTTTTAAAATGTACTTTTCTGTAAGATCAAAACTTCCATCCATTCAATTAGATGTATTAGTGTACAAAATTCGGTGATTACCTGTCGAATTTATGGCTCTATATAGCTTTTTGTGCTGACCAGATCTACCTGTACTTCAAACAGGACATTCTTAATAAAATCGCTACCTCGACAGTCTATTTACTCCAGCATACAAATTTTACTACCCACCCTTTCATAGCACATTTAACATATAGCATCTTAGCTGATCAGCCTCAATGAAGTCGTTACGAGCGTCCAAAGATGAAAGTAACCATGTTTCTGAATGGGTGAGTCTAAACCGAAAGTTTTACCCACTTCAAAAGAACACATTAAACTTTGCAACGTTAAAATAAAATCGAAACCTTTAAAATCTTGTTCATTACTGTATTTTTAAGAGTTTACAGAAAATATGTAATTTTCCACCTTAGCGGATGTTTTCTTTGGAGCACAAAGATATGACGCATTTCATGTAATGTCGGTTAGATTTTCCATGCTATAGGATTTATTCAACACGCTGAATCTTATTTGTGAAAATAACACCAATTCACATTATCAAATGTAAAGATATTATTTCTGATGTTTACCAAACAGCATGCAGCGTTTTCAGATCCTCCAAAGACCTTACATAATAGGATAAGATATATCCAGCGTTCTGGATTAAAATCATAGCACTTCTTGTTGGAGAGCTTAGCGGTAGACAACTTAAAAGCTTGTATACATGTTCGTTAATATAGCTCTTTGAACATATTTTTTTTAAACGGTGGATCATGAACAAGTGAAATTTGTCAGTATGTTCAAACATTATCAAAAAGGAATTATTTCCTCACATTACATTAAACAATACATAATAATGTGATAAATTTAGTTTTTGTATGTAAAATTAATCTTCACGTGGTAGCTGTTCTAAATAATTATCCACAATGACCACTGTCCGTCATGTGTTTTTGTGACGCGATATTTAGTCAGTGTCACCACAGTCCAGCGAAGCTGATTTATTGAGAACACGACAGTAGCCATGTCCGAATGTCCGAAAACGTGTACGACATTGTCCTAAGGACAGAGCCTGGTAGCACCGGGCGTGTAGTTCGAAATGACACTAGACTGTCCACATACCATCTGCATGTAAATGTCGACTTTACATATATCAACGCTGCCATGTATTTTTTATAAGGTTGTATCATTGTAGTGGTCACTTTCCGATATATTATCAAATAAAAGTATATCCGAGTTCAATTGATCAAATAAAATAGTGCAAATGCGAGAAATTGTTTACAACCAAACAAATCTAATCAAAGGCTTCAACTACCTAGAAAAGGAAATTATACATTCGCCTGAATGATAAATGAAATTAAAGTTATATTCTCATAATTCATTTTGACACTGATTTTTTATAAAGTGTAAATCGGTTTCTGCTTTTTTAACTATGATCAAGCAACATTAGGTAAGAACACTTAAGGTCATAATATATCTTTCTAAATGGGAACATATTTTCCACTTCATTATATGAATGATTTAATCTAATGGCATTACCGACTGTTATAAAACATAACACCGTTATACTTGCTGCTGATTAAAGACTGTGTTGTGTGACTGGACCACAGCAAAAACTCGTTAAGTAAACCATTACAACAGAATATGTTCACCCAAGTAAAACTTGTTCGTGTATGTAAGGTATTATTTTTTCTTGTCAAAAGTGATTTAAATTTTTGCACAATATCTGTTTCTTTGCTCAAAACGTAATTATTATAAAAGTAACTTTGGATATTTCATGTATAATCTAACATCATGTGATTTTTAATCAGTATCATTTCAAGTTTTTTTTAGATTTAATCCTAATTATATACTGATGTGTTGTATTTTATATACTCTTTGATATAAAGATGTTTTCAAGAAGAAAATATTAAAGAAATAATTATACCTTCAAAATTAATGATAAAAAAAATAGCTGCACTTATAGAAGTGATTTTGTAGAACGTAACTGATTACGGAGTTCACCAGACTGTTAAATTGATATAACTATGTTTGTTCAACTCAAAGAAGAACCTCACTATAGCTCATCCCTGGGGAGAAATGCTGGGTTCATTAAATCAGTAATTAACATCATATTAAAAATGATCACTTCAGAGTTAAAATGTTTCTAGGTTCATCGTCTCGTGATGTCGGCAGCTGAATCGATTAATTTGATTAGCGTGTTATTTCGTTAACTATATAAAATAAGTACTACCATTTGAAATTCAAAATATACTTGTCATCATTAGATTAAAACCCATAACAGTTTTGCCGGGTAATTGATTATGTTGACTCTAATATAGGTGTGATATATACCTTTCATTTTGTTGGTGTAAAATCTGTTCGGAGTGCCTCTGTCGCTTCCAGAGCTGTCGGAGAGATGGGACCGAGGAGAGTCCGGATAGTCCATGGGTTTGTTGAGTTTGAACTCCCCGAGATCTTTCTCGTCAGGAAATGGTCGGAGTCCATCTTCATTACTAGAAGTATCACTGGACGACATACTGGGCGAGTTAGGCAGAGACCCGTCCATCCTAGATTGTCTTATAGGTACAAGATATCGATATAATCAGATATATCCTGTATTCAGATAGTCCTTGTGAACTTGAACAGGAAGATTCACTATAAAGTTTCACATCAAATTCGTATAAAGATGTCTCGACATGTGATAGTTAAGACGAGGTTGTGTGCTGCTGTGTTGAGCTGAGCGAATGTTTATGATGTCTCGGATATGATGACGGCCTTTTAAACAGTCTTTCCGTGGGTAATCAGCCGTGACTAGTCTAACAACCTCATTGACTGGATAATAGCTTCTTTCAATAGCACTTAATAAATCACAAACAACCCGATTGAGAAATTACTATTCTGATCGGCGACAGATAATCTTTCTATGACTTTAGAGGCGTGTCTTAGCGGAGTGTGGCGGTTACTCGTCACCTGATTGGTCGATAGAAGGAATAGCTGATAGATAGCAACGCCTCTGGAGGCGTGGCCTATTGCTCAATCATTGATTATGTTATCAACTTGTGATCTAGTGATAATACTAACTAGGATTAAAATGCCAATATTGTTTCTTTTTAATTATCTTCCAATGATTATTATGAAAACAGTAACGGAATTAAATTGTCAAATTAGTTCTTAGAGCCATACTACATGGCAGAAAGTGACATTTTTTGTAATCCGACATAAACTGTTCTTATTGACAAAAATCAATGGAATAAAATATGAAATAATTGGACAATTATATCTGCATATTATACATATTTGTTTATTAGCAAATGTTAATGTCCGATCATTGTTACTTTATCTAAATGTGATTTATTTTATGTAATCAAAGGTCGGTTCCTGTTTGAAATTTTTCTACATACATTAAGCCCTTATTGTGTTATAAAAAAACAGGATTTTCATGTTCTGTACTGTATCGAAACATGTAAGAGATATTGTAACAATTTTATTACATCTGTCAATGAGAATATTTACAGCTATGTTACCTGTGAATTACACCTGTACCGAAATGATGAAGTATACAACGGTAACCGGTTATTCAAGGGTACCATATAAAGATCATCATTGGTATCGACAATAAAACAGGCCTAGATCAAACGGCTAACACCACAGTACCACACATCCTCGCCCCTTTGATCTTGTCCACTATTATTTAACTTTAAATGAGCATATATTTCGCAGCCCCGTGCGAGGAATTTCCCTGGCTATGAGAAGTGGTAGAAACTCCCAACACAATCTTCAGTTTGATACTGCAGTGATCTAGTTATTATTATTATTTTCTAGTATTAGTTTCAGTAGAATGGGAACGTGCATCTAAATAATCTTTACAGTGGGCGTTTCTATGAAGATAAAAAGCTCCCGTAGAAAAAAAAAAACACTGACGGGATTATGTCGTCTTTATTGTATATAATGCATTTTTACACAAGTTCGATCATAAGACAACCGAATCACCGTCTAGCGGTATGCTATTGAAATAAGTAGTGAGAAATGTTTTAATCTAGGTATTTGATAATATTACTTCAACGAACTAGTATATATCATACATGTAATCAGCTGTTTTAGGTGTCTAGATTGACTTATACAGGGAAATAGTGTCTACCTTACCTAAATACATAAATCGATAAAATACATAATAATTTCCGAGGCAGATTTCAAATATACCCGAAATCCTAATTTAACGAAAACACATTCCTGTATCAGCTGGGTTTTCTATGTATTTACGTGAGAAATACTTTAATGTGAACGTCCCTGGTAGAGCGATGTTAAATGTTATATTGACTAGAATTTGATGGAGGCTGGGATAGCCTAAATTGTGACATTAGGAAACTGAATTGAAACTCCACTTGGTAATTTTATGTCTTATGTTCTTTCACAATACTTCCAAATATAATTGACCAGTAGAGAAGATATCTTTCTAACCTAAAATATAACCGAAAAAGGAGCTCGTCATATAAGAATACAATGAATGTATCTGTAAGACGCTCTAATGTGGTTGTGTACAGCTGAGAACGCGAGCACAGTACGCTAGCTATGTATTGAGAGGTCGTGTTTACTCGGACTGTTATCTTGTCCCTAGATAATTGTTGGAGTTCTGTAAAAACACACATTTCAATGATCGTGTTTACGATACAGTAATACCCTAGTCAGGTATTTTGGCCACAACAATGAATACTTTAAATCACTTTAGGATAACGTCTTATGTTTAAACCATTATTTCATGAGAATTTTGTATTAACTTGACCTTTTCAAAAAAAGTGGAACATAAAGTAGGATATCTCAATTTATGCAGACAAAAATTAGTGCATTTCTGATAAAAAATTCTGTAGAAATAAACTTATATAATGTGAACATAAGTTTAGAATATGGTTAATTCTACAACAGTAGTTTTATGGGCGTCATTATACTGAGTAGATTCATCTTTTAGTATGGTTATTTCAGGAGTATATAGGATGTCTGTGTGGGTCCTTTACTTCTTAGTTAGCACAATAAGGATAACACAAACACAATGTGAATAGATGGAGATTTGTAGATTAAATTGAAAATTGGAAATAAAACAAAGAAATAAAACAAATTAAACATAACAAATATTAATATTTTATTCCAATTTCGCTAACGGAAAGTACACTCGGTCTGCTTTGTTTAGATTTCTTTAATTCACCGCAATCTGTGTAATCAATCTCCAAAATGACCTCGCCATATGACGGAGCTGGAGGTCTCTATCGTAAACTCAGTTTTTTTGTTCCCTAATTAGGATTGGGCATTATTCTATACCTTACGTACAATACTGTTGACCACTTATCTGTTAAATTACAACACCTCTGGCCGTACAATGATAAGGAATAATTCCGCCAAATTGGCCCGATAGAGATAGGATCACCCGTCGCGAGTCCTCGGGGGTTACAGGGTGTTGGACCTATTGAAGCGGGACACGATAACACACCCAAGATTACCTCCCCTGATAGAAGATCTCCAATCTAATTATACATATTGTAAATTATATATAACAGGGTGGACACTGAACGGTTTCTTTGATGGTCCAATAAATGACTATTACATTTGGGTAAACAGAACATGTTTTGTAAAGGATGTTTTTCGTTTGTATAGGGAGTGATTTACGTCGTTTGGAAAAAGATACGAAAGAATTAAATCTTAATTCATTTAGAGTGTAGAGTAATTGTCGCACATTTCACATCTGTTACATCACGGCGGTCTGCTCACTAAACACTTTCATTCAGACCGGTTAAGAAACAGTTGTATAATTTATTTACATAATTTATTGCGATATAAACTTGTCTTACCGTGCAAGAAGATTTGATGGACGAAACCGACCGACAACTTAACATTTGCACACTTAAATATATATAAATCTAAGATTATTGCATGATAAATTAATTTTACATATATTATTTCTTACGGAAAGTAATTAAATTGTAATAACTTTTGTTCAATCCAATTGTCTTTTGTTTACAATAAAAGTGATTTAAATAAAACAAAATCAACGTTTGTATCTATATGTTAAATTACCAGTAAAATATTTCAATCGTGTGAGAAGCGTTATTATATTTGAATATACGGTATACAGTATTGAATTTTGGTGAAGTATGACAGACTATTTGGGGCTCTACTGATGAAATGATTTTGAAAAAAAAAATGCAAACAACATATATCAGGTGAAATCTAATTGCTATGACGGGGGAAAATATGACACTCGCATTAGTACATAATATACAAATTGATGACAAATAACAATTTCATGATGGCCTGCCATTTCCCCTGGAACATGTGTATTTAGGCTATGTAGACGAGCTAATATTCCGTCATTCCTTGTTTTTTGTTAAAGATACTTTGGTGATATTATTTATTAGACAAACATGACACAGGTATTAGTATGTATTGTCTGAGAGAGTATCACAAACAAATGGGGTATTAAAATGTCATGCTGGTACCTCGAGCTGACCTTTATGTTTGACCTTGGGGGAACATTACCTGTGACACTGACAGGTGAACGGTCGCCATGTCATGTTCCAAGGGAGACAACTTGGATTGTATGAATCAGGTATACAATTCTGTGTATCATTTACTTTTTTTCTGAATTGATTACTAATTAATCTAATTTATAACACATTAACGTCTCACCTTCAGCTGTTTAATGAAAAATCACTGAAATATGCTTTGAACATAATTAATTAATTACTATGATAATACATTATCCGCATTATGAAAAACATTCTTTGCATACTTTCACTGTCATGAAGATAGTATTTTATCGATTTTCTATTTATCTATATTTGTTGTTGTTTTTGAGAACCTACTTGACCAGATATCAAAATATTTATCAGCACCACCTTTCCCCTCTCCTCTCTCTTTACCCATGTCCAAAAAGACACGTTGCTGCAAAGCTGGGTTTGCATACAACACAACTCTCATACTTATGGGGTCTATGACTTTAATTAACATGATAATTAAATGTACATATTCAACTTCATATTACCTAAACTAATACATGATATATCTAACAGAGGTTAACAGCACAAAGTCGGCCAAAATCACAAGAAGGTTGGTACCCGCCATCTTTTAAAAATTATACTGATTCCATGTACGATTTAAAATTGAATTCATATGAGTCCTTGCGATGTTTTAAATTAAGCCACAAGTTGGTACATGTGTACTACAAATTGTTCATGTACCGAACTACCTGGTATGTATAGGTTACGTAATGTGTGTTATAGAGCGGAGGAAAATGTTCTCATTTCCCTGATGGTACAACAATAATATATTGTGTCCTGGTCCTAAGGTAACGCTGTTTCCATGACATCCGTCTCATTAGATGTCTATTTTAACTGTACATGTGAGAATGTGTGACAAAAATAAAGGACCCACTCGCAGGAATAAAAAAAAATCTATATAAAGAGATACTTCTTCACTGTAAGAAAGTTTTATTGAAGACGAATCACATCATGAAGTATAAGACAAATGTGTAACATTTTTAAAGTTAAGTGGAGTCTTTGTGTCAGAAGGATCACAAGG